TGTTTACATGAAGCGCAAAGGGACAATGTTATTTGTTGATATATAATTTCTTTTTGGAAAAAAGAATTTTTTTTTTAATAATAATGAAATTGGATCCAATATACTCGAATGGGTTCAGAGAAGAGAGTTTCAAGGACTTTACAACGTCGGAGGACGATTTCGAGATACTTGCTTTGTTTCGCAGTGAGAAGGGATGAGTTGGACGGATAATAGAATTGGTTGGGCGAGGAGTGCCAATAACCGGCGTGGGCTTGTCGGCGTCATTTAATTGCATTAGTATTTCATCGCTGTCTGTATCCAGTGACTTTTCCTTTAACAGACTCAGGGGAGAAGTTTATCAAATTCGAGTTTATTTTTGTTTGTTTGAAATTCAAGTTTTCTTATTAAAATTAAGTTTCATTGATTTTCTAATTATTTACATTATTAGTTAATTTAAGGTGTAATAATTGATTTCTGTCAGAGAAATTCGTTTTCTGTTGTCCTTGGTCCTTTTGAATACTATACTTAAGATTATTATTTTCTTTTAAGTTCTTATTGGATAATTTAGAAAAAACATCATTGAGAGAATTTTTTTAATAATCATATTCTTTGAAAGAAAGTATATATAGAGAAAAGTTTAGGAAAGAATTAGAGAAGAAAAATGGTACATGTTTTTGATTGGATTGAGCGAGTGAGAGAAACACCTGAGATTCGATGGATCTGCTCAAGTGTAAAGAGGGTAGCAAATCGAGTTGATATTTCGGTGATACGCGCGCTCTGGGATCGTAAATTGTAAAATCTATCAAGACCAACGTGGTCGACATAACTCAGGGGGTTGCTATCCTGGTTGTATGAACCATGGCGGCCAGACTCGGCATAAATACCCGGTTTGCAGAACAGTGCCGAGCCCCGGCAGAGCAAGCCCAGACCGTTGTGGCGTTGCAACATCATCTATCTCGAATAATTTATTATCGCATGGCGCGCGTCCTCGAAATCCGGACAAGAACGCGACCAGAAACTCTAAACAGGAAATGAGCGTTAGACTATGCACAATTTCGATCGAAGAAGTAAATTTTATTATTTTTCCTTAAAAACTTCTTTTTTTTAATGTTGTCACATACTTAAACTTTTTTTTTTATTGTCTTTCACACATTTAAACGGGTTTCAAAATTAAAAAAGTTGCAACTACAAAAAGCTATTTTTTTAGAGTAAAGTATTTAAAATTTTTTTTCATCTTAATAAACTTTCTTCTTTAGAATAATAATAATAATAAAATTATAATAATAATACTCATTATTATTATTTTTATTATTAGACTACAAAAAAAAAAATTATTTAATACAAATAAATATTTATTTGATAATACTCAAGTAACCGATTATTTGAATCAAATAAATTTTTTTCAGTGCATAATAATAATTATTAATATATAATATGTATAAATTTTACTTTATTCACTATTTAGAGTAGTTATTCTGTAAATTTGAAATTAGTAAAAATTCGGGTAAAATGTTTGGAAAAAAACTGGGAAGAATTTATAAAAATAAATTTGATAAACAAACAAAATCATAATAATTGAATTTGTAAAATTAAAAAGAAATTTTTTTCTATTTCAATAATTATTCGTATGAATTATTTATAGTTTTTTTTGTTTTTTCGAAATATTTAAAAAAAAAATTTCATTTTTTTCTATTTTAAATTTTTTAGTGAAAAAAAAAATCGATTCACCCCTTTTCATCATGAAACTCTGCGGATATTTAGTATTTTACTATTGGCGCCATCTTCCACAGGGTGACCCAACCGTCTTGCACTTTCATCCCCTAAAATGAGAAAAGATTGTATGAAAAAATATGTGCAGATGGCGCCAGTAATTCTGTTAAAAATGAATTCTTAAAAACTTTTTCGTTAATAGAACATTTTTTTTTTTTTTTTTTTTTTTTTTTTTTTATAATAATCTATGTATAGAATTGTTGGTCCTTATATAATTAAAGTTACAATTTTTTGAAAATTGTTTGGAAAACCTCAAAAAATGTGAATATACATTAGAAATGTATTCTCCTTGGAGAAAAATGTCCTCAAAATTTTTTTCTAAATATTAAATTTACATTAAGTGGACAATTTTTTTTAAATTTGGATTTTTAAAAATTTTTTACGTATTTTTTTTTTATTTATTATTTTTTTTTTTTGCGGTGCATTTTCACAATTTTCGATTTAATCCTCAAAACATATTAGGTGTTTCTCTAGGAGAATTGAGAGGACGTCCCGTTGGCGGCTGGATTTTCAAAAAATTCGTGATGCTGCGCGCGCCTCGCCTTCATTGATCGGGGGTAGTGTCCGGCAACTATAACCCTCTCCGCTTCGCCATTTATACAAACGTGTGGCTTGTGTCCTCTTCGTTATATCCCGACTGCCCAAGAGGGACTACTAGTTTGTCTTCAACTTTCAGGGCGGTGTCCAAAATGTTACCAAAAAAAAAAAAAAAAAAAAAAAAAAATTAAATTTTTGAAAAAAAATTATAAAAATTAAAAAAATAGATATAATTTTTTTTCTTAAAGTTTTTTTTTTTTTTTTTTCTTTTGGTGAAAATGGTTATATTTTTGAAAAGTTGGTAAAACGAAATATGATTCCTCAGCCGTCAGCCCAATGTCACTGAGGTTTGAAAATGGTGTAAAGGAATCTCTGTCAGGTTGTTCTCATTATTGCTCGGCAGGATTTCGAAAATGACCCCTGGCTGGCGGGTTTACCGCAGCATTTTTTAGTCTAGGGTACAAATCCCCCTCCCCTCTTCCGGTTCTCCGGGATACATCGAGGGAGAGAATTACCAGGGTGAATAAGGTGTATGTATGAGAGAAAGAGAGAGAGAGAGAGATAGTGAGCATGTGTGTTACGAAAAGAGCGAGTTAACCTAACCTCAAAATTCCAGCATCAATTCTGGAGCCCCTCTAGTGTCCCACCCACCCGGTGCAATTAGGAACTACCCCTTCTATTCTATTCTGGCTGTATCCTCACTTCTCTACGACCTCCCACCTAACCCCCTTTCAAACCTGGTACCACGTGATCCTGCAACTACTCTCTTGTTTTTAGAGGTAGGATTGGGGGTTGGGGGGGGGAGGGAGTCGTGTGAGAAGGGTGGCCGGGGTGGAATACCACGTCCGCGTCGTCATGACTACCATTGGGAGGGGTGGTTATACTTGAAGGGGTTACTGGCGTACAGTCCTTGCAAAATCCTAAAAACTACCCCTTATTCACCTGAGAAAAATTCACCATCCTTTATATTGCATTTTTGAACCAGCTTTTACCACTGCTTTCCCTTTCGTGACCTTCGCTGTTTACATTGGTTTTCATATCTTAGACATTTAACACCTTCTTCTATTTTTTTTTCTCTTTAATTCCTCTTAATTGTTTTAGAATTTAATTTAAAAAAAAAAACACTTTTATGAAAACTGTTTTTCTCATTTTTTTTCCCAACTTTTGTGATTGAAACAAAAACTATATATAAGAAACAGATTTTTGGAATTGAATAGTTAATTTTGAAATTAAGTATTAGAAAAGGAGAATAAATAATTTTTTTTGAAATTAAGAAAATGGTATTTAGAAATATAATGCGAAGTCTCTTTCTCTTTCTATAGAGGTCATTTTTTGTAGTTCTTTTTTATCAAAGTGTCCTGGATCGGTATAAGTTTCGAAAATGGTTACGTTTATATGCTCCCGAGGAGGTAATAAAAGCGAATGACATTGCCGCGAAAACAACGTCGAACCTATGTCAACATCAGTAGATGGAAAATAATTTTTTCTTTTATTATTGTGGAAATAAACAATAACTTTTAAAGATGGGAAATTGGAAAAAAAGTAAATATTTCGTGGGTCAATAATTATATATTTCTGTTTTGTATTTTGAAAATACAATTTGAGAAAATCGATTTTACTGTAATTTTCATACGTAAACCTTATTCGGATATCTCTCTCTTTCTATATATATCGACGAAAGGAAAATGTACTCTAATCGGTTCTCTAAAGCTTGTTAAAACGACATCGCCAACGCTAAAGGAAACGGGACTTGTCAACATTAAACACAGACCAAATTCACCTTCGAGCAAACCGCAAATCTGATCACGGTGTGCCACATTTGCATTTCTCCATTTTCATCCAGATCCTAAGTCCTGTGTCTTACAAGTTGGATGCTGGGAAAACAAGTGGAAATTAGGGTTTACTTTATAAAATTAAATAATCTAGAGAAAATTTTACAAATTGAAGAAGAAAAATTTCAAAATCGAATTGGACATAAAAAATCTTTTTGGAAAAATTCTAAATTTTTTTTTTCAAGTTAAAAATTTCAATAACTTGAATTTTTTCTGTTTAGAAAAAAAGGTTTTTTTTTTAAATTGTTTTTCTATTTTTTTTTTTTTTTTTTTTTCTGTTGAAAAAAAGTTGGTATTTATTTTACGTTAGCTGCAGGAATGAATGCATCACCCTGAGATTTAGACGGTAGGAGATGGTGTTTATCTAGATGATTATCTGGTAGAGTCACGTTGTTATCTAGCCGACGATCAACTACCCCTTCAGCTAGTAGGTGAAAGGCGGAGTCTAACCCCCTACTTTGGTGGTAACATAGCATTAGGTAAGCTTTTCGTTTTATTGATTTTTCGAAAAAGCGCGTGCGCGCCCAGCTCCTATGTCCCTCCGCACTATCACCTACGACCCCACTGTCATCGTAAAGATTCGACATTTCCCAGAGTTTCTCGTTTCCAGTCATAAACTCTCCCTCCATTTTTGTTTTTTTTGTTTTTTTTTTTTTTTTTTACTTTCAACTTTAAGAAAACTTTAAATCTACTATTGCTTTTTGATCATTGTTCCTTTTTCCACAATAATAAATAAAGAATGAATGAAAATACATTATTTGAAATGAAGTCGATTGAAAGTAAAGAAAATTAATGAAAGAAATTTTTAATTTGGTTTAGTGAGACAAAAGGGTTAAATTATTGAACAATATTGAATAAACAACAAAATGATTTGGACAATAAGAAAGATAAATTTTTTTATTAAGTTTAGACAAATAGGTGTACAATTAATTTTTTGAACGATATTGTTTCTCAGGCTGAGGTTAAATATGAATGATAAAAAAAGTTAGTTGTGAGGGGGAAGTAAAGGATTAGAGGAAATAATTATAGTATATAATATATATATATATGGAAGGCTGATGGTGAAATCAGGACGTACATTAGGATAATGAGGGGCTTCAAAGTCAAAGCTTGATGCAGATGTCGCTTTATAGTATAAGTCGTCTGGTACCCATGTGTTTCACAGTCATCAACCATTCACCGAATACTCAAGTTGATATCCGGTACATCCAATATGACATAATTGAAATTGAGGCAAAAGAAATAAAAATTCTATTTTTAATTTATGCCATTGCTCTTTAAAATGGTATTCATAATCTGTAAACTAAAATCTATATATGATCAATTAAATTCATCAACAGAATTTTTGCCAAAGGTATATAAAAACTATATTGATTCAAAAGAATATGCTATAGAATCTGTATAATATTTTACAAATTCCATAGCATATGCTCTTGAATCAATAATTTTTTATACCTTTGGCATAAATTCTGTTGATTCAATAGCATATTTTTCTCAGTTTATAATTCATAATTTTCATAATTTGATTTTCGATCAATTATTTAATGTTATTTAATATCTATTATATTTGGTTGTGGATCATCTATTGCCTGTTCTTTCTTCACTGATTATGCATGAAAATTTTAATGACCCATCGCGAATCAATTTTGGATCATAGATCTAGTAATCTTACTCTTCTTTGAAATTAGCAACTCATCGACAGTATAGATGATGACGCTGATGATTGTTGGTGCTAGAGGATAAAAAAAAGAATGCTTTCATTAATAGTAATCTGAAACAGTAGAGAAATTTAAAATTATTTTTATTTTTGAAACATCTGAAAATTTGAAAAAAATAAACATAATATGATGATCAGAATCGCCGTAGACCTGCCGAAATGGAATTCATCTGCGAAGGCAGGAAACATTAATTATGACTGGATCTAGTCTAAAATACCCCCATCCCTATCAGTATCCCTTGGTCTCATTTCATCATCGTGTATATCGCCGGTTGCCGGGTCGGCGAACCAGAGTGTTGGGATTGGTCGAGGCTAGCTAGCGTGTTTTCCGAAATCATCGCTCGACTGCGACTCACACACACACATATACAGACATTCACACAGGCTGATAATACGTGTTTGCCTTCTCTCGTATCAGAACGAATGGACTCACCCACACATACATTTGGGATAGAACAAGCGCAACGACACAGGCCCTGCGGGCTCGCGTGTTAGAGCCTCACGCGCACTCTGCGTCTAGCGCGCCGTCGTCATCAATCATTGAATGCCACCGGCAGCGTCGACATTTTCCACAAAAACACACGCACCGACCTGAACACACGCACACTAAATACTAGTCGATGTATCATCAACCCTCACATAGATGGATCATGAATCAGTTTTGATTTTTTTTTTTTTTTTTTTTTTTTTCTTCGTAAAAAGGGTTGTTTCAAGAAGCCTTGCGGATTTAGACAAGAAGAGAGGTTTTACGATACGTCGTTGCTTCACCGCGGAAAAACACAGAACTGAAGCCGCGGACAGAGGGGCATGCCGCGGCAACGTATGATTGGCAACAATCGGCACTCTGATCGAACGTTTGTTTCAGAACACAGAATTTCTCTCTCTCTCTCTCTCGTACTGCTTCTACTCCATCTCACTCTATTCGATATTCTTCTCTCTTGTTCCTCTTTTTCAAACCTGTCCCACATTCTCTCTCTCTCTCTCTCTCTCTCTCTCTCTCTCTCTCTCTCTCTCTCTCTCTGTTTAATTGTTGTCTCTGTCATTCATAAGGGGAATTTATCTTCTCTTTTTTCTCCCCTCTCTCTCTCTTTCTTTCTCACTGTTGCTATTCTCTATGGAGCCAATGATTCAATATTTGCATTCCTCTGGGTTGTTTCTCTTACTAACACGTTTGGTTCCTTTTGATTCTCTTTCTCGCTCTTTTTTTCCGCCCCTTTTCTGCGGGTGCCGACACACTCGTCAATGTTTATATACATATATCGAACCAGGGTCGTTCGTTATATGATACTTTCTGTGTATATATATATATATGTTACATGTACGGGGATGTTTCATCCTTCTTTTGTATATGTATATATACTTGATGCGCGTGCGGTCACATTTTCATGCCTCTACAAGTGCATGCGTGTGACATGAAAAAAGGAATTAAAAAAAAAAAAAAAAAAAATGTCAAGAGACAAAAAATGTTGACCGGCACACGTTGTACGGGCGTTACAATGACGGAATTAACATGCGCACATTGTTTACAGGTATTTTAAATTAAGAAAAAAAAGACTGAATATAGAATATATAAAAAAAATTTTGGATTTCTCGAAAGATTTATTTTGGAAAAAAAGGTAGATTTTTAGATACTATAAAAGATTTTTTAGTATTTAAAAATCTTATAAACAAAATTATAAAATTTTTTTTTCAAACTAACTTCATTTTCGAATTACTGTAATGTATTTCAAAATTAGGGCATCTCTACTAATTCACATTAGTAAGAATTTTTTACTAATGTTTTAGTAAGAAGTGACTAAAAATTAGTGGAAATTCTTGCTAATTTCAGTTAGTAGCTCACTTTTCGCTAATTCAGATTTAGACTCTCTAAATCTGAATTAGTAGTTTTTTTTACTAATAAAAGAGTGCGTATTCATTTACCAATTGAATTAATAACAGTTTTGACTGATTTTTAGTAAATAACTACTAATTGCTAGTAGGAAACTACTAAATAATTAGTAAGTCGTACTTTTTTACTATTTCAATTTAGTAAGCCGATTTACTCCATAAATTAGTAGTTTTCTACTAGCAAATAGTAGTTTTTTTACTAAAAATTAGTCATAACTGTTACTAATGCAATTGATAAACGAATACGCACTCTTTTATTAGTAAAAAACTACTAATTCAGATTTAGAGATGAGAGAATGAAAATTAATATGGTCCCTAAATAATTTTCAATATTATTTGGTCAGGAACTCGCGTATACGTCCTATATGACTAAACACTGAAAAAAAATTTATTTGATCCAAATAATCGGTTACTTGTGAATTTCCCCTAAAAATCATTAATTGGAATTTTTATTTTAATTTTTTTTTTTTTCTATTAGAAATAATTATTTTTTTGACGAATTTTCGAATTAACATTTTTAAAAGAATTTCTTTTTATACGAATTTTTACATAACAAAATTTTTAGCTACCAAATTTTCGTTTGGCAGAAAATTTAAAAAGAAATTTTTTTTAAAGACTATTTTTTTAGTCGATCTGAATTTTTTTTAGACTTCAGCGACCCTTTCGACATTTCATCGAATTTAAGGTCGTTCTCGTGTGATTCTAAGGGGTCGGTAAAATCAGTTCCTTCTTGTATTTATACGTTTCGCTCGATAACAAAGGGGTGGGGGTTAGATTTGTTAGATACTGCAAAATAATTTGATCATGAAAAACTGATTTATTGCGTATTTCAATTTATTAGAATTTAATCGTTTAATAGTTTCAATTAATTTCTCAACCGAGAGTCATTCTTTGGAAAGAAAAAAAGTATATAAAATAGTATCGAAACATTTCGTTGTATGCGATTGGTAAATTATGTTGTTATTTTCTATCTTAAGTGAAAAAAATATTATTTGAATCAAGAAAACCTGTTCGTATTTGATTGAATATTTAAATAAAAATTATTTTGCGCAAGTAAATATTTATTTGATAATAGTCAAGTAACAGATTATTTGAATCAAATAAATTTTTTTTTTCAGTGCAGGATTAAGTTATTATTATTTGAGATTATTATTAGGATTGTTATTATTTTTTATTGGAAATTATTAGACAATTAGAAAAAAAAAATTTTTTTTTTTACACAGTGACTATCGACTTGATTAGTGATTCATCAAAAAAAAAGTGATCAACAGAGATAGTTGAAAGGGGGTAAGAGGGGGTGTAAAAGATTTGAAAATAGAGGAAGGAAGTGCATCGACTGGAGGAAATGGAGCGTTCGTTTTATCCGGCTTATAACTCGCGCCCCGCTTTTGGAATGTGAAATGACCGTGGAAAATATCGGCTTATCGCCTTTTATCCTTATTCAATACTCTTTTTCTGCTAAGCAACTGTACTCGCGGTTTATGCAAGTTTCTCCTGATAATATATATAAAAAAATTCCCTGTTGAAAACGAAGTCATAGAAAAATACATTAAAACTTTCACTTTTCCAACAATATATAGCGGAAGAAGGAAATTATTCTAAAAAAATAGAAGTAAATCAATTTTTTTTTAAAGTTTAATCTGCACTATTTGGAAAATTTTTTATCTTCATCCTAATTTTCTTTTAATTTTTTTTTCTACCTTTTGGTTGGAGAAAAACTGCTTTTTTCTAGGACGAGTAAAGAATCTAAATTTATTGTTCTTTTGTTGAGAAGAACTTGTTTTTTTTTTCTATTGTCATTTATTTTCTGTTTATATAGTTTGACTCAGTAAAAAGTTTAACATGAGAATAAATGATAACAAAAATGAAAAGGAAAAGTTTTTTTGTAATCTCTCATAATAATAGAAAAGTTTAATATATAAATAAGGCAAAGTCTTTTTTGAAAATTTGTGCAGGTTGGTTCTTGGTATAGTGATATAATTCAAATTTTAGTCGACGTGAGTCCGATAACCTCATCTTTATTCTAGAATGGATATAGTGAACCATTTCATTCTATGCTCCATAAAACTTGCAGGAAAATCATCCCTTAGGACGAAACGGTCCGTGGATAAAACGTAAAATGTTAGGACGTAAAACTGCCACCTCTCTTGTCCCCGAGCACCGTTTCGTTGATACCATCCCTCTTTTTGAGGCGACGAGACATACAGGGGTGAACACCACTGTCTCTCAATGGTATATCCCAATGGATATGCGCGTGATCTTTGCCCCTTATACCTTCCCCCCCAAAAAAAAGGATCTCATTTAACCGCAAAACCTTTCAACATCGAATTTTCAATGGAAAATTTAACTGAATTTATTAAAAAAAAAAAAAAAATTAAGAAAATATTCTGAAATTGAGAATAAATTTATAATACACGAAAAAAAGATTTACCTGAAACAACGAAAGGTTTCACTAGAATAGCGAAAGATTTAACTGAAACAAGTAAAACTCTTGCTACTATAAACTGAAAAAAAATTTTTTGATTCAAATAATCGATTACTTTGACTATTATCAAAGAAATATTTACTTGAACCAAATAAATTTAATTATTATTATTATAATATAATAATATAATAATATAATAATAATAATATAATATAATAATATAATTATTATTTGAATCAAATAAATTTTTTTTTCAGTGCAGTGAAACGTTTTACTGTTTCAGGTAAATCTTTTTTTCCGTGTATCGGAAAGTAGTGAATATATTCTTATTTTTTAATTTATTATTTTTAAAGAAACTCCCTATAAAAAATTGGCAGAAATCACTACTCGCGCTGTATACTAGTACCGCGCCAGTATTGTGCCAGTTGTGAATTTTTGATCTATGATAAATTTAGAAGACATTGAAATATATTAAAAAATAATTTCCAAATATTTTTTTCTTAGAATAAATTTTCCAAACAGAAATTTTTTAACTATGTTTAATGTTTGTTCGAGAAATATGGCATATGTATTAAAATTTTATTTGTCTGCATTTTTCCATGAAAAAATTAAATCATTATTCGAACTGATTTAAATGATTATTATTTTTTAATTGTATAAATTGGCCCTTACGGAGATTATTTATTGGTAATTGATTAATTTTATAAGCATTTAATAAAATTTTGTCTACATCGTACAAAAACACTATATATGAGAAAATTATACTATTTATTGCATAAAATATGATTTAATATCCGGTAATAAATGCAGTGGCTATTTCTAAAGTTAACACAGAAAAATTTACTACGTGAAATTTTTAATGGACATTTTTTGCTGATGAAAGATATTGAACGTCGCTGCTCTTGCTAAATTATCGCTGAATATTCATTTCGGAGAGCTTAGTTGGTTTCATTAATTAATTGAATTAGCACGATATATAGTGTATATATGTATACGATTCTAATCGGTTCAGTGTTGCATTTCAAGTAGTATAGGTGTGTTTATAGTCAGATATGGACTTTAAGACTATTACGGACAAGGACTTTAAAAATGAGGCATTTCCTGTTTTTTTTTTTTTTTATTTTGGCAGCAAATTTTTTTTTAATCAAATAATTATTTGACTATTATCAAATAAATATTAACTTGAACCAAATAATTTTTATTTGAATTTAATAAACTGTACTTGCACTAATAACTTGTGTATTTGGAACAAATATCATCTCAAATAATAATTAATTAATAAAAATTAAATATTTATTTTATAATATTCAAGTATTCGATTATTTGAATTAAATAAATTTCTTTTTTCAGTATAGATATATAGTTATATATAGGTGTAATGTTTTTTTTTGTATTTTTATAAGTTTTGTTTGTGTAGAGTAATCCACATTAGATACAATTATTTTAGGACTTGATAGACTTTAGGACTTGTTCAAATATATTTTCTTTTTTTATTTTAACCATTTTGTGAAAAAAAAGTTAATAAAATTGATGACAGGTTTCATATAGTTGAAAAAATGAGAAAAATGTAAATTTATTAAAGTTGGAAGTAGTCAATGGTTGTTTTTAGTCAGACATAAAGAGAAGGCATATTTTCAGTAGTCGAACCAACTCATAGTCAGACGATATCTACTTTTTCTATAGACTTCTATGTGTAATTTTTTTTTTGTTTGTTTTTACTCTACTTGTTTCAGTTAAATCTTTCGCTATACTAGTGAAATCTTTTTACCCTATCAAAAATTAACTATTGGCGCAATATTGGTACCAGTACCGTGACAGTAGTGAACTCTG